ACTGCCCTCGACCATAACACCAGAACAAAGAAAATGATTTTCAATAGCCGAATGAAACTGAAAAAAACGAACCGATTCGATTCGACCTCTTTTCTAGAAGTATCATTCGATTCGATTCGGCTTTTTTTCAATTATTTTTTTATTCATTCGATTCGATTCGGCTTTTTTCAATTTTTTTTTATTCATGCGATTCGATTCACCCCAGACGAATCGAATCGAATCGAATTATTCGGCAATTCGATTCGATTTCGGTCTCTGGTTTCTATCAGAGTACTGAAAATTAAAGGCATTAGTGTTCAAAAAAGATTTACAAATTTTTATTTCTCAAACATAACAAGACAAAAACCCATGAGTCAATGTGTATTTTTGCTGTTCGTCATTTTAATTTATCATTTGTTTCAATGAACTGGGTCACTTTTATTCTGTTTACTTATATTTTATTCTAGTAAATATTTACTATTTCTTTTAGAATCGTGATTTATTTTCAAATCTCGAGGGTGTTAGTTATACCTACTTTTTAGTAGAAGATAAAAAGTTCACATTCTAGCATAAAATACATTTAGATATCTAGCATAGATGCTGTAAAATATCAGCCAATCTTACTTAAAAATGCATATGAAAAAAGATTATTACCTGGAAAGGATCTAAACTTCTTAAAAAAATACTTTATATTCTAAAAACTAATCGATGCAGATGCTTTTCCCATTTAAATTCTGGCCTCGGATTCGTCCTATATTTCCTATATTTCCGATATTTAAAAATATTCCTATTTTTTCTCCTATATTTCGATGAATTTTTCTGTATTTCCTATAAAAATGAAAAACAGTAGAAAATTGCTAAAAAATGCTCTTGTTTCAGTATAATTTTCGTTTTTTTTAAACAAATCTATTCGATAATTATTCATTCTTTTGTATTCTTAGAATTTTTTTACAGGGACTATTTTATTTACAATTTCTTTTCACATTATCAAACGGACTAAATGAAAATAACTGACTATTTTAAGTAAAGATATTCAAACAAAGTAAAATAG